AGAGCTGGCCAATAGCCAGGTATTCCTAGCTGGCCTAGGCACTGTGTATGTGATCAGAATGGTGAGGACAGGAAAGACTGCACAGGGTAAAACAATTTTGCAAACCTGCACTGCATCATCCAGGTGACTGCTAGAAAAATCTAAACACATAGAGCTGTTGCTCAGACAGTTTAGATTTAAACATTCTGATTGGCAAGAGATGGTATACCAGAGAAATTAATGCTGAAGTCTGAACTTCTCAGGAAAGTAATGGAAAGCTGGATAGCAAGACAAAAGAGAAATCTATTATGAAGACAGACACATGCAGAGAAAATATAAAGCTGTCAGTAAGAAACCCTGGGTATATTGCTGTTTTGATAAATGAGCAAATGCAGCTAAATGTTGCAGTTCAAAATGTATGTTGAACTGAATCACATAAGCTCTCAGCCTCCAAATGTCATATATAACTACTAACCTTGGACTAGCATGTTAGCCCAGACAAGGGATTGGAAAATCTGTCAGTTTCACGTTTTCCTTCATTTGGATTTTTTTAAAAAAGCCTTACTTTTTTATCTTCATTATGAAGCAACTGGTGAATTTTGTTCAATTCCTGAAAAAACAAACTAAAACATAGGCTCCCTCATCTGCAATGGTCAAATTTAATAGGGACAGCTATTCCTAATATGGGGAGGAGGAGGATGTCCACCTATGTTAAAGGATGAATTTAGTAAGAATTAAAGGATGCATTCAGAAAGAGAAAAGAGGGGCAGCCTTATTCAGTCTTGATATGGCCTAACACATAGGATTCAAACTCACACTCTGAAGAGCTAAGGACTCAAAGGGCCAAATATGACATTGGTCCTATCTAGAGCAGACCAGTTAAAATCAGTGGTATTAAATTTAGTTGTAACTAACGAGCAGGGATGTCTATCTTCATGCTCTTTATTCCTGCAGGAAAGAAAAAGCAATTCCTGCTATATTCTCCCACTGGATGAGAACACAAAGATTTATGCATAGTTTTGATTGTTGATCACATTTGAGGAAGTATTGGTCTGTACAGAAATACAAGATTTCTGTGGGTCTTTAAATTTGCATGTATAATTAGCACAGCCAACAGTGTACAGATAATCTTGACAGAAGAGAGATGAGTTCCCCTGCCTCATATTATTCAGTTTTAGAATTAAACTAAAAAAACTATATGCATAAGGGGACAAAAAAAACCTTCCAAACACACATGCACAGAAGCATTATATCAATACAACATATTGATTTGTAAGTTTAATATAATTCAGTAGAGAAAATTAATTATAGATGCAAAATTACATAAAGATTCAGTCTGGTTCTATTTAAGTAAATACACCCTTTTTGCATCTTAGACTGTGATGTACTTTGCAGAATACAAATCCGCCTGCTAGCATGTGGAATTGTTGCTGTTGTTATATTTTTTAAATTTATATCCTCTATTTTCCACACCACTGGGACTTTAGGCTTCTTAAAGAATTTTAAAAGCGATTATACATAGCTCACATCTGTAAACAGAATAAGTTTTACAGAAAATTTTAAACAGAATTTTAAAAAACCAGATTGAAACCATATCTGTTATAAGGCACAAAATAAGAACAGTAAAACACACTTTTTGGTATAAACAGTCTGTCCCCAAGGGTCTGTTGAAATTAATTAAAAAGAGTTCACCTGTTGCTGGAAAGACACCATGAAGAGAGCCAACGGGCGTTTTCACATGGGGCTTTAGGAGGACGCAATCCTACCTCCGTCCGGCCCCACTCCGGCTCCATTTCCAGCTTGTTCACACACACGCCGCAGCAAACCATCCCCTTCCAGTGCCATCCCTGCGTCCATCCGGCTCCTTGCTCCGTGTGTTCAAACGCACGGAGCAGTAAGTCCGGCCTCACTCTGGCCGAACCAACGCTAACTCCAGCTTCAGCAGCTTAAAGGTAATTCCGGGTTTTAAAAGGAATTAGGGTTGCCGCTGCCGGAGCCATTCCGGAATGAGCAGCACGAGCCATTCCGGAAAGGCTCCAGGCGGCTTAAGCCAGGTAGTGTGAAAACGTCCAACCTAGCCTCTCTAGGAAGGGAGTTCCTGAGCCTGGGAGCAGCAACCAAGAAGGCTCTCTCCCTTTTCCCCTGTAGTAAAGCCTGTGATAGTAGTAGAATGGTGAGAAGATACCCCCCCCATCCCCAGATCTCAAAGCTTTGTCAAGCCCATATGGAAGAATAGAATACTTCAGATAACCTTGACATTTATCCATGTAGTAACCTTTTCAAACTGCCAGAAATAGTGCAAACTGAGTCCACTTTAACTGCCCTGACTCAATGCTAGGCAATCATGGCAACTGTAGTTTATTGTGGCACCAGAGCTCTCTGACAGAGAAGGCTCAATGTCTCAGAAAAAAATACAGTTCCCATGATTTCCTAGCACTGAGCCAGGGCAGTTAAAGTGGACTCAATTTGCACTATTTCTGGCAGTCTGCAAAGGCCCTAGGACTTTATAGGAAATTATCAGAACTTTGAATTGTGCCCCAAAATAGATCAGTGGAGCTATCCTAACAAGAGAATCATGTATTCCCAGCAAACAGTCTGACTGCAGCTCTTTTAAGTGGTTCCAAATACTGTTCAAATGCAACCCCATATGGACAAAACAGGGTGTAACTAAGGCATGGGTCACCATGGCTAGATGACACATCTTTAGGAAAGGTGAACTGTGCAAATGCATTCATGGTCACTGCTCAAACCAACATAATTATTATCTAGGATTTTCTGTGTTTTCAGGGGGAGTGCATTGTCACCCAAGATGGGCCAAATCACTATTTTCTAATATGCCTTTCAGAGGACCAGAAGCACCTCTGTCTTGTCTGGATTGAGCTTCAACTGCCCTCATTTAACCCACTTTTGATTACAAACACTGATTTAGAATTGAAATAGCTTCCTTGGGGTTAGATGGAAAACAAAAATATATTTGGGTATCATGCATATACTGGTAGTATCAGATCTCAAAATTCTGGACAACCTCTCTAAGTGCAGCATGCGAGACAAATCCAAATACTGAGGGACACCACAGACCAATGGCCAACAATGAGAAAGGAACCCCACAGCACCACCTTCTAGATGTGCTTCTCCAGGAAGGAATGAAGACTTATAAAATTGTGCCTCTAAGGGCCTTTACAGACTGATCGAAATAATGTAGCTTGAGGCCACTTTAACTGCCCTGACTCAGTGCTAGGGAATCATGGGAACTGTAGTTTATTGTGGCACCAGAGCTCTCTGACAGAGAAGGCTCAATGTCTCAGAAAAAAACTACAATTCTCATGATTCCCTAGCATTGAGCCAGGACAGTTAAAGTGGTCTCAAGCTGCATTATTTCTGGCAGTCTGTACAGTCCCTAAGTCTCATCCCAGCCAGATAGCCTAGAAGGTTACTATGCTTAATGGTAATGAAAGCTGTTCAAACATCCATAAGAGCCAACAGGGCATATCTCTAACATTCCATTTTTAGGGAAGGTTCTGGAATATCTGGTATCCTCCCAGCTCCAGGGGTTTCTGGATGAGATGGCTTATCAATATATATTTTGATCTTGTTTCAGGCCTGGTTGTGGGACAGAGATGGTTTTAGTTGATTTGCTGGATGACCTACACTGGGGGCCAAGCAGGGAAAGTGTACCCTTTTTTGTTCTTTTTGACCTTTGAGTGGTATCATTGACCATGGTATCTTTATGGGTCACCTTGCTGGAAGAGGACTTGGGGCAATGTTTTCCAGTGGCTTTGTTCCTTCCTGTAAGAAACAAAATGAAGGGGCAAACTCAAAATGTGGTGCTGGGAGATGGTTGCTAGCCTGTGGGATCCCTCAGGGTTTTGTTTTGTCCCCCATGTTATTCAACATATACATGAAACCACTGGGAGAGATTGTCCCAGAGTTTTGGGAGTTAGTATCATTAGTATGTGGATGACACCCAACTCTATTACTCCTTCCCACCACAAACAAGGAGGCTGTTTTGGTCCTAAACTGGTACCCGTCATCAGTAAAGGACAGAATTAAAGCAAACCATTGAAAACATACAAGACAGAGGTGCTTCTGGTCAGTCAAAAGGCATATGGGGAATAGAGATTCAGTTGATGCTGTATGGGGTGCTACACTCCCCTGAAAATACTGGTTTACAGCTTGTGTGTGCTTCAGGATTCAACTCAGAGTCTGGAAGCCTAGGTTTCAGTAGTGGCTAGGAGTGCATTTGCATTGGCACAGCTGGGCTGTTCCTTGAGATGTCAGATCTGGATGTGGTGACACATACCTTAGTTACAATCTCATTAATTTACTGCAATGTTCTATGTGGAGTTGCCTTTGAAGACTATGTGGAAACTTCAGTTGGTCCAAAGAACTGCAGCCAGAGTGCTAACTAGGCTTAAATACAGAGTGTTTACAACTTTCTTATTGGAACAGCTCCACTGGCTGCTAGTCTTTTTCTGGGCAGCTCACATCCAGGTTATTTGAAGGACCGTATTCTCCCTTACAAATGAATATGTTTTGAGTTCTGCTGCAGAGGCCCTTCTCTTGTTCTACCTCCCTCACAGGTACATCTGGTGGGAACATGAGAGAGAGGCTTCTAAATGGCTGCCCCCAGTTTCTGGAATTCTCTTCATAGAAAAGTTAGACTAGCATTCTCCCTACTTTCTTTTTGCAGGCAAGTAAATACTTTTCTCTTTCAGTAGGCATTTGATGAGTGACTATAAGGCCCATATCCCCTAAACAATGTACTGGATTTTGCTGATTGTTTTACTGCTCCCTCCCCCTCTCTCTCTCTGTGTGCATGCATGCACTTGCATGTGCTCAAGCACATTGCAGATTTAATGATGTATGTTTTAATCTGGGTTTTTATTGTTTCATCTCAATTCAACTTTTGTAGCATATGATTTTTTTTCAAATTGTGTTTTTTTAAGCCACATTTGAATCCTGAACTGAGAAAAGACAGGATAACACTAAATATAACAGTAATAGTAATACTGTTAGTAATAGTCACTGTGGTGCAGTGGTTTAAGCATTAGACTTTGACTCCAGAGATCAGGGTTCAAATTCCTGCTGGGCCATGGAAAACCACTGGGGGGCATTGGGGAAGTCACATACTCTTAGCCTCAGAAAACCCCATTATTGCTTCACTGTAGGGTCCCCATAAGTTGGAAGTGACTTGAAGGCACACAACAACAACAGTGTTAAATTAAACGCTGTGTAATAATCTGACTGAAAATATGCCATTCCTGTCCACTTCAGCTCACTCACCCCAAGTATTGCAATGTTTGTACATTCCATTTCTTTTTCTTTTTACTGCATTAGGCTTCCCTGATTTATACTTTTCACATTCCATGTTCCTATAATATGTGTTGTGCAGCTTACCCTACACCTCTGAGTGCACCAACAGATGAATGTCCTTTCGACTTGAATGCAGTTGTGTCTTTATCCACAATGCTTCTTGAACCTGGCCTCTCCTTTTTTTCCCAGTAGCTCACTGAGTGCCATCTGATCTGGGACTGTCATTATCTGGCACCATCACTTGCTTAATTTTGCTTTGGATTATAGCATTTTCATAATAAAAGACATTAAAAAGGGATTTCATTATTTACGATATCATTCTGATTGTGCTTCTCATACGTAACTATTAGGCTACATGGAAAGGAATTCTCTCTACTGTTTCCATCTCTGACATGGTCTTCTTTGTGAAGTTGCACACAGTACAGCTGTTGGAGTTTTTCTTTTGATATTTTCAGGAACTGGATTGGGTGGGGAATTAAAAAGAATTATAGAGCATGCAATGATTTAGTGAATAAGATTTATGCATAGGATTTAATGTCCTAAACTCAGGTGTTTGTCCCAAGTTGAACAGACCGATAGATGCAGCAGGATTTAAACATGTATTGATGTCCCACCAAAAATAGATGACATTAACATCTATAATAGATACATTTATGCATAGCGAAGGTGCCCGCTGACCATTGAAAAGTGGAAGGGGAGTATTTGTCTTTCCAGCCTTGGTGTATGAGCTACGGGAAGTGCAGTCAGACTCTAACTCCACTAATTGTCAGTGAAGTCCCAGGTTTCAAAAGTATAATTTAAAGGTATATAATGATATGAAAGATGATTCCAATGCAAAGTTAATACTGAACATTGTCTCCCACCATTTCCAATGTTAACTAGACCAGTGATTCTGAAACAAGCTTAAATAAGATATTATATATGAATTTTGGTACTTTTTTCAAATTGAAAGCATTGGCACATCGAGAATTTCTAAAAATTGTTGATGTGCTTTGTATTTGGTGTCACATTCTAGGTATTAAATACTAGATTGGATACTGATCTAGAGGAAAGTGTGGGCTTTTACTTTTCTACTATGACATAGGTAGGAATGTTTACTAGGGCGTCCTCTTCAATTGTACTGTTTTGATGAGGACAATCCTGATTAACTCTCTGTCATGTAATATTTTCAACTGCTTTAAAAACATCCCAATTTCTATTTCCTCTTTCCACTTCTTCCCTTTGTCCTCAGCTTAGTTCAATTACAGCAAACTGGTATGCTAGAGCTTAATAGGAATACAGTGGCTCAAGTGGTTAAGATGCTGACTCTGCTGATTGCAAGATTGGCAGGTTGGCAGTTTGAGACCCAAAAGCTATATGAGCTCCCATCACTAGTCCCAGATTCTGCCAACCTAGCAGTTGGAAAGCATGCAAATGCAAGTAGATAAATAGGCACCACTTTGGTGGGAAGATAAACAACATTCTGTGCAATCATACTGGCCACATGATCACAGAGTAGTCTCTAACAATGCTCTTCAGCTTAGTAATGGAGATGAGCACCACCCCCTATGGTCGGGAATGGCTTGACAACCTTGTCAATGGGGCATACCTTTACCTTTACCTTTATTCTAGAGCTTGCACTGAAATATAAGGTCTCAGTTGAGCTTTTGATTTCATTGAAGCAAGCTGTGTCTCTTGTGAAAGAATTATACTCGGAAATAATCACAAGTAAAGCAGATTCCAGGGAAGCATGCAGAAACAACAAACATTTTTATAATTAGGGAGGAAAGACACAGGCAGGAAAGATGGTATTCCACAATTTGAAAATTTCATACGGACAAGATCTCAGTTACAGACTGGCACTATCTGCTGCTTCATATATCTCACCAGTCCTTAACACCACTGTGGTCATAGAAAAGGACATGGGCTACAATTCATGCAGAAATTTATGGATGGCCTTGATATCCACTAGTCCAAAGTTAAGGACATTAATTGGCAAACACTGCAAATAGCTACTTATCTCCTGATATGTGTCACCACTGAGATAATCCAGTCACTCTGTCTTCTATCCAACCTCTGACAAATGTCCATTGTTTTTGATAATTGCTGTCAGCTGCACAGTAGTCCTTCAAACTTTTGCATAGATTTGTACAGATGAAGCCATTCTTTGTCTGATGGAAGTGCTTTCCAGTTGCACACATATTCTCATTGCTAGTCATAAATGTGTGATATAGTGAATATGGGTTCCTTCCACTGTACTTTAGAATGTATGTCTTTGCCCAAAGGCAGTCACCTCACAGCAATATGTGAGATTGTTGTTACTCTTCTTCTTCTTCTCCTTCTTCTCCTTCATCACTTTGTAGCCCCAAGAGAACTTCCAAGTTGCTCTACAATCTGAATTTTTAAAACTTAAAAATAATATTAAAACTTTAAAAAATAATATAAAATGTATAAAACCTGACACAGGACAAAAAACAATGTTTTTGAAATAGAGCAAAGATCGAGTATATTTAAAAATCACTTTCAGTTTTATTGAGAAGGTACGGAACACGGAAAAGGTACACGGAACAATGACAACAAAGAAGTTTATCAGCTTCCTTAAATGAATGAATGAAAGAAAGAGTCAGTATAATATCTTTATAAGACAGTTTGACAGTCAGTGTATCCTACCAAGAAAGCTCTGCTCCTTGTTCCCATTAATGATGCCTCCCATGTTTGTGGGGAAAACAGAAGACCCCCTGAAGCAGATCTTAAGATCATGGGGAGGCTGGCAGGAAGCAAGCAATCTTTGAAGTATCTTGGCACCAAGAATCCACATTTGGAATTATGCAAGAATCCACATTTTGAAATATGCAAAGAAACACGCTGGCAGATCAGCAATGGCCCAAGGTGTCTGGCTATCAGAGATGGTAAAATTCTTAGTTCTCCTCCCTCTTTCCATCTCAATAGGATTTCCTGAAAATCCATCAGGCTCTGCATACCTTCTTCTGAGGGTTGTTTGTCAGAATGAAGCACTGTATATGGGGGGGAGGGGAGTGGAGACTGTCTATATTACTGCCAGAATGTTTTCATTGCCTCAGAGTTCTGCCTCAGGATTCTCAGTGAGGCACTAAGGGGGTCTCAGAGCACCATTTGACCCAATCCCTTGGTCTAAGGACCTCTTGCTTTGGTTTGAAGATCCTTCAGGGATTGGGCCAGCTGCTCTGGGAAATTATGCTAGCTGAATTCTTGATGTAACATCTGGAGAACTTATCCATGTTCCTCTTCTCATTAATTAGGTGAAGTGAAGTGGTTTTTCATGGAAGAGGTAGCAGGGACTATTCCTGCCACTCTCCACATATGTGAGTCAGCATCCTCCTGATCTGCCCTGTGAGACGGGGAATTCACTCTATCTCACATTAGAGTGGTGCAGTTGGTGCACTATCATTATAATGGGATCACCAAACACACTAGAAAGAAATGGGGCTTCTGCTTTTTTCTCTTTCTCCAGTTTCTGAACACTCTCAAAGGGCAGCTTCAAATAGATTGCAATGTGTCAACTTTTACTGGGAATTTGAAGTAAGCAGTCTGGCTCCTAATCTCAGTGACTGATTAATTTAATTTGCTACTGGAAGAAATGTTGCCATTTGTGAACTGTGTGTTCTGGAATTTGTGTTTAATTATGATTTGAAGTGATTACATTCTCAGCACAGCTCATGCTTGTATAGGAGGCAGAAGTCCAGAATATTCATTACATTAGGAAGGATTGGGGGGGGGGGGGTTGACTGAAAAAAGAGAACATCTGCCATCAAACATGCATGGAGCCCAGTCCCATGCAATCTTATTTGTAATTTATTCAGAGGAACCCCCTCGTAAAGATGCATAAACATACAGCCTGGAAACTGTAAATACACATTTCACTTTTAAAAACAGTGTAGAATCATTGGCATTCATATCCTTAGTAGATAGAAATACTGAAGCTTATATGGCATATTCATTTTTTATTTAGTCACTTCACATAGCATAGCTCACTTGTAATCTCATGCATTGGCCAGTTGTTCACTGAATAAGGATTAGTGTGTGACAGAATCAGTGTAGTGGTTTGAGTGTTGGACTAGGACTTTAGCAGGCCAAGGTTCAAATTCTCACTCAGCCATGGAAACTCACCAGATGATCCTAGGTGGGTCACAATCTCTCAGTTTTAGAGAAAGACAGTGGAAAACCTCTTCTGCACAATTATTGCCAAGAAAACTGTAAGATTGGGTTGCCATAAATCAGAGTTGGCTTCAGGGTACAAAACAACAATAACAACAGCAGCAGCAGCACTACCACCACCACAACCAACAACAACAGCAACAACATATTAGTGTTAGTACTGTGCTCTAGCTATATCTATGGCAAACTGGATAATTGGATCCTGTAATGAGTCCAGGCCTGACTCCAATAAACAACATCCTTAGCTTGTCCCCTCACGCATGCATGTGCACAATGACGCCGTCGTACGCATGCTCACGTGACACCGGCACCATTTTGGAAGCCCCCCTGCGCCTGCAGCGGACAAATTCACCCGCTGCGCCCATGGGGGAACTTCCCTGGCCCTTGGAAAGCACCCCCCCATGCCCGTGGCAGGTGAATTCACCCGGTGCAGCTGCGGTGGGCCCTTCCAAAATGGCACGTGCTGCTGTGAGCATGCGCGCGAGAGTGCAGGCTCCTTTTTTGGAAGCGAAAATGGCGCCCGCAGGGCGGTGGCAATGGCAGCGGTGGCAATGGCAGCGGCGGTGGGACTGGCCACAGGCCAGTCCCAAGGCCTCCATGGGCCGTA